TACCCGTTAAGAGGTCGACCCCCAATTTTTGCCAAATAATTTTGTCTTAAAAACTCGAACTACACACAGGTATATACGGTAAATAAGGACATGGGGGGGCCAGGGATTGTTTTTTGGGGGGGGGTAGCAATAGTACACGGATTTTTAACATTCACGGGTATCTCTGTTACCTAACCCCCGCGAATGTTAAGGGCCGACTGTACTTCAATTACTTCAATGTACAGAATATTCCTCTGGCGGGGCAATCCGCGTATTTGCGAATCCGTGAATGCTAAACCCGCGTATGTGAAAGGCCGACCGTACGTCCGTGCCCCCCCTCGAAAAAACACTTCCGTGATGCCTGCTGGACCACCACTCCAAGACCCCCCTGATGGAGACACGACGATCCTTCCCGTACTGGCTAGATGTTATGTGTTAAAGGAATATCATTCCTTAGGCTTTAGTAAGCATTTTCCTCCAGGTGTAATGTTAACCTACATCTATTGAGGATAAAATCTTTCACCTACAAATTGACAATAACACATTTGCTGTAATCGGACATATCTAGTTGCCTCAACAATTGCAACCCTAGTTGCAATTGGGGTTGCAATTTGAAATTCTGTGTCATTACTGAGGAATAACGAAGTCTCTGGTGCACTGCACTCTAAGATTAAGAGAAAATTGACTCGGGCATCCCGAAGGGAGAGAAAACGGACTTCCACGACGGGAGACTCGAGCACTAACACGTGCCACTCATACCGAGAGACTTGACAAGTTTTACCGACCATTAGTTATGTACGTTATCTAGTGAATTTAGTCAATATTGTACAGTATAAGTATACTGCAATTACAGCGGTCCCTCGGTTAACAATGGACCCGAGTGCAAACCCTTACTGTACGTGTACTAAACGATTACGGTACTTAAATTGTTATGTCTATGGCAAATATAGATTGTTTACACAGATATTCAAATACTATCTTACAAGTTATATTCACCCAGGTCGTTTGGGTGGCAAATTATGAGAAGAGCTTAGTCACTCTTAAGTAATGATAAATAAACACTCGGGCCTTCAGCGCCAACTGTCAAATCTTATCTCAAATAAATAAAGACATTGTCACCTCACTTCCCCCCCCTGCTCGCTGGCTACCTCCCTCCTTGTGTTCCCAGACAAAACATTGGTGATAACTTTATGCTTTAAGGTGTTTATTTTATATAATATCTCAGACTAAAGTTAGGGGATTACAATTTGCATAGCTGGAATCCTTGCAAGACAGCCAATAATTTGAATATAAACATTATATATACTGTATTTTGTTGAAGATATAAAAATTGTAGTACATTTTATAATATAAAGTTTTTCAACTGTATTTTTGGGTAGATTTATATCAATTTCTTCATTTATTTTCATCCATTTACATGCAGACACCACAATAAAAGAAACGTAAAAGAAATAAACGACCTCGGTGCAAAGCCGGAGCATTGTTGTACTAATTTGATTACGGTACAAAAATTGTTATGTCCGGTGCAAATTACAGCATGTTTATATTCAAATTAATCAGTATGTTACAAGAATCCCAGCAATGTTAATTATATTGTACCAGGTCATTTCACTGGCATTTTAAAATGAGAGAAGCTTAGTAGGACTGTTAAATAAACTCACAGAGACCTTCGGCTCAAACTGTCAAACATCTCCTCTTAACTCTCTCCCCCATCTGTTGAGCCAGGGTTTTAGGCTTACAGTTTTTATCTTACATAATATTTCAGACTAAAGTTAGGATATTATAATTTGCATTGCTGGAATCCTTGCAAGACAGCCAATAATTTGAATGTTAACGTCATATATTTTGCTCGAGAGATAAAAATTGTTGTACGTTAGTGTACAGTACTGTAGTACATTTTATAATATAAAGTTTTTGAACTGTATTTTTGGGTAGATTTACATCAATTTCTTCATCCATTTACATGCACACAGCATACTAAAAGAAATAATTGACCTTAGTGCAAAGCTGGAGTTTTGTTGTACTAATTTGATTTGGGTACTAAAATTGTTATGTCTAGTGGAAATTATAGCATGTTTATATACAAATTAATCAGTATGTTACAAGAATCCCAAGAATGTTAATTATATTCACCCGGGTCATTTCCCGGCCGGGAAAAAATGCGCCACAGACCCGGGCGCCAACCGTCGGTGTCGCCGGGCTTTATCTTAAGTAATATCACAGACAAAAGTTAGAATTTAATTTGCATTGCTAAAATCGTTACAAGACGGCTAATAATTTTAACATAAACGTTGTATATTTTGCACAAGAGATAAAAATTTGTAGCCCTTTGTAATAAAATTAGTTACAACTAAAATTTGTATGTGAACTATAGCATGTTTATATTCAAAGTAATCAAAATTTTATAAGAATTCCAGCAATGTTAATTATATTCTTCCAAGTCAGTTTAGTGATATTTCATAAGAGAAAACCTGAAAGTCACTGTTAAGGACAGATAAATAAATAAGCTCTAGACCTTGGCATCAACTGTCAAACCGATAACCCTCCTCCCCATCTTGCCGCGAATCCGATCACGAGTAAACGGGCCATTTCGCGTCTCATAATTTTAGCCGCGTCGATTTACGAGCGTCCGTTTTAACGCGATACTACAAAAACGATGTTTTGTAGGAGATGGGCCGAGGTGCATTTGGGTATATTGGGTCTTTTTAGTATTTTGTGTTAGTCTCGAGTACCAAAGTAAATTGTTCCATTGAAACCACTTTAATTGAGTCCAAATTTGGTTTAAAGCTATTAGCTCTCTAGGAATGCGCCTCGCGTCACCGACGCGTACGCGGGACCGGTAACAATTTTACGTAAACGCGTCGACGACGTAATATTCGACAATGCCGTCGGGTCGTCGACGTCCCGTTTCTTCGTTTAGTAAATAGTCGTGGCGATTTTTGTCGCGCGCGTGTCCGTCGACGGGCACGCCGAGGGCGGTCCGTCCGCGGATGCGGGCCCGCTCGAGATTCGGCCCGTATTGCGCAGTCGTACGGTCCGTCGTCGTTTGCGAGAAGTACTCGTTTACGTAGTCTCGCGTGCAGTATATTGCATTTTCTAGCAATAGACTAGTTACGATCGTAGATTAGTTCCATCACGTAGGGTATCGTCTCGCCGTCGGCCCGGGACACACCTCCGGCCACTCGACACTCTGCTTACCGGTACACGACACAAATTAAAAATGATCAACACGATATTTTACGAGGGCATTATGATTGATTTATAATACCCTATGCAATGGTTGTATAGATGTAGTGCAGTATAATTATTAAATGCAGGCAGCATTCACATCACAAACTTAACCCACAGAAGAAGTCGCCTCGGGCAGCGGAAGCGCGATCCGGGAGAAGGACACGAAGAACGACCGTAGATCGTCGCTCCGGAGACGGGTCGGCGAGTGCCGCTCTCCGACGCGAGACGATCGTCGAGAATAACCTACGTGTTTTTCTATTTTTATGGATGCTATTTTAAGGATAACTAAAGCTCAGTCAACGGTTATTTTAGCTTAAGGTCATATTATACGTGTATTTGTAATGTACAGTATTTCATTGAGTAAGAATGCTAAAACTTGCCCGGCGGTCGACCCCCAAAACAACTGCGGCGACCCGCTCCGGCACTCGAGAAGACGGAAGCTCCGAGTACACGACGTTAAAGATTAACGGATAGTTTGACGACTATACCACCCCTTGTTCCCTCTACCTCCAGCTAAATGTATCCCTCCCTCCACTTACCACTCTTCCTTTCCTCATCTATTATCTTTCCCTTCCACCCCTCTATCCCACCATCTGTCCCCCCTCCCTTTCTTCACGTACCATTCTTCCTTTCCTTATCTATTATCCTTCCCTTCCACCCCTCTATCCCTTCCCTCCACATACCACCTTTCTCTCCTAGCACCTGTCGTTCCTTTTTTGTGTTTTATTTAATAAGTTTTATAGTATATGATGGTCACCTTATTAATAATGTACCATTTTGTGTGATTACAATTCCACTACACACACTTAGTCGAAGTGACCAGTTATTAGTGTTGATATTAATGGGATAAATATTAGATAAGTTTATTGGAGTTTGCTATAAAATATGTGACTATAATTATAAATTGTGAGTGTGAAGAAGGGTTTATAAGTTGTATATATGTCAATTAGAGGAACAAATAATTTGCTAACCACACCCTAGTCCTTCAATGGAAAACGCATCGAAATGCGCAGCGGCGAATGCATTCGGCGGGAGAATAATGCGGCGACACGCGTAGAATACTCGTACGCCACTCTCGGGCACGTACGTTTCCCTTTACTAAAGTTAGGTGGGTTTGTTTGGGTGGCGTGGGACCCAGAGGGCATCGGCAGGCGGTCGCGTCCGGCGGTTGCCGTGCGAGAAATTGGGAGGACGGGCTTTCACGTTGCAGAAACTAAGGACCGGCATCTTCCGGCGGAACCACAGCCCGCGATTAAAGGAACGCTCGGGTTTGACGCCCACGGACCGAGCGCGCGGCTCCTCCGCCGTAACAAGAGTAGTCGATTGAAGTCCCCTCTTTTGCCTGGGTGGATGTGTCTGTGCTAACCGTTTTAGGCAAGTGAATGTTTGGTACAGCAGATTTGGGGATTCATTGTAGGGTAGACTTGCCATACAGTGCAGTGTTTTAATTGGTATTATATTGCGGCGATCGGCGAGCACGGAGAGTGTTTTAATTGGTATTATATTGCGGCGATCGGCGAGCACGGAGACCGAAGCCTCACTCGACCGTGTCTCGGGAGGCGTGGGGTTTGGTCCGAGGCCACTCGCAGTCATCGTCGAGGGTATAGTCCGGAACGCCGTTCGACGTGACGTCTCGTCGAAATTCCGGAGCGGTCTTCTCGTCGCGGGGCGCGCCGGAGGTCGACGCTACGACGTTCCCGGAGGGGTCGTCGTCGTCGGGTATTTGACGTGCATCCGGAGTAGAACGAGGGCACGCGTCGAATCGGCGAACCGTCGAAAGTGCGCAAGAAATGAGATCGCGTAAATAACGGCAGATTAATTTCGTCGACACTCGTACGTATAAAAGTGCAAAATAAATAAATAATACGTATTTTTTTTATGGGAATTAGCCCACCCGGGCACGGGTCACCGACCCACATCGGGGCGAAAATGTAATAATAATAATAATTGTTGAAGTTACAGTGTTCATTTTTGGTGGATATCAACGAAATATGATGCGAGAGGCTCAGACGACGACACAAACGACGACGCTCTCTCCGGTATATTTTCGGGACCGTCCGTAAAAACGAAACCAAAACACACGTGCGCATTCAAAGTGGCGCTTTATTCCACAAGTAAAATAAAACATATTGACATAAATATGGGGTAACCTAGTTTATATGTAACAATAATACTGAAGAACCTTAAAGAAATACAAAATGGAAAAAAAAATCAAAAGTGAGGAACAATATATTTATGTTGTGTTGTCAATAGTAAGAGAAACAATCGAGACAGAGAGTCAGACGAGCGACCCGGGACTCGGTCACAATTTTAGGGATGCCACGTAGCAGGAAGATCTACCACGGACGACACATTACGCTTCCAATATTGTCTGCGGAGGTGGTATCTCCCCGTTTGGTGGCTGCCTAAGTATGTAAGATTTTCCAATGGAAAGTGTATGTTTGGCAAATGTATCCAGGTCTTTAGAGAATGTACTCAGATATTTGGGTTAGGTGTCAAGGGTTCATGTATAATTTGCATGCCTAATTGACTATGTATATTTTTTAACTTTAATTTTTCATTTGCAGTCACCCGACGGGAGTCAGAAACGTCATTTTTGTGCGGACCGGCGACTCGACGGACCCCGGCCGAGGACGCCGCTCGAACCGCGGGTGAGAATGTCGGACGACGCCGTATTGTAATGTTTATATCGCAGTGTACGGTATTTACTTAATGGTTCTTTGAAGAATAGGAATGCGTATGCGGCGTGCCTCGGCGTCTCCGTAGGAATTGCGTAGAGTAAGTGGAAGGTTTTTAAGGGAGACGAGAATTTATTAAGCGGCGCGTCGTCGACGAAATATCGAAGGAAGTTTTGACCGGTCACCGAGAGGAAATAAGACGGGAATTTACGAGTAAAAGAGTAGAACGTAAAGATAACGAGGGAGAAATGAAAATGCGACCGACGACGAGACTCGGGTGCCATCGAAGATGCGTAGAGGGACGGACATTACAAGTGTTATAATGAGAGTACTTAATTTAGCATAGAGATATAGAATTGAAGGTGTCATATCTGGTCTAAAAGTGTTGGATACAATATGAAAAGTATTATTAAAAAATGGGAGTTTAAGCCAAGGGTTAGGGTGCTGCTGGCACTTCCCCCTCCCTTCCTATTGGGATAAATCGAGAAACAAGATGAATTCTCCCCACCCCCTCCTCCACAAAGGGGAGACCAGATGGACGTCACCTGGGTGTAAGGGTTAAGAATGTAGTAGCTTGTAATGGAGGATGAGGTATATGTATTTATGTCCTATGTTTTATACTGTATTGCAAGTAGGCGTTATTGTATGCACATTGCGGGTCATAATAGGAACGCGGCACGCCGGAGGCGGGTACACGGGACGATCCCTCGGAACAGAAGCCGAAAGTTCGTGGCGTGGGTATATCCACTTCCCTTAAAAGTGTAATTAGGGATCCTCCTCAGACACATTGCACCATTTGAACGCAGACGTAAGATTATCCTCATCGCCGTACACGTCCCGAGGAGACGAGGCGTATCGAGTTTACGCGGATGCATACGAGACGTTTCCTTTCGAGTACAGGTAGTTCTGCTATAATGCGATAGTTGTGTTCTTGTAAAACATCGTGTTATAGAAATTCGTGCAATAGAAATGACAGGGCTTATGGAGAAAATAGGGTTAGGTGCAGATTACTCCAAATCGACAAAAATTTCGTAGTACAGTCTAAATAAATGTTACATTGATATCTAATATTGAAATCATACAGTAAATGTTACACTTGACCTTGAAAAAATCTGAATATAACTTGATGGGGGAGAAGATTGATGTTGAGGAGTCATGAAACATCAAGCTTTTCTTCGAGTGTTATAGCCTTTCTTTTATGATCACCAGAGTGCTTCCCAGAGATATTCTTCTTTTCCATAGTCACAAAATTGGAGAAACAGTAATCACCGAGGACACTTAAAAATTTCACACGTGTTTCAAACAAAGTGTGGAGTAAACAGAGCGCGCGGGTCTAAAACGCTATGTATTTTGTTTTTCTCTTATTTTACATATACTGTAGAGGTATACTGTATACATAAATATTACATAAATTATTTGTGCAATTCTTCACAAACAAAACACATAAATCAATTGAACTTGCGATGTCGAACGTGAACTGTAAACACTGCATAACCCTGCGCCAAGCCACAATGTAAAGTACACTTTAAACGCTACTTATTTTGTTTTTCTCTTTTATTTAAATTTTTACAATTTACATATTCATATTATGCTACAGCGCCCACAAAACACGAGAAACGTTCGAGTCCCCCAGTAGAGATGTCCGTTCTCTATCCACTCGAGGATGTGTCGGTCGTGCGTTTTCTTTTTGTGTACTCGCTCGGGGACTCGAGTATTTCTGTTTATAACACAGGATGATAAGGGAATTTGAATTTATTTGTTGATTTATTTATTTATAATATACTGTAATATATTAAATATGCTGCAAGTATTTTCTTTAATTTATATACTTTTTTCTGGAAAAAGGGAGGCTACCATTATACCCGGTAATGTACATTTATGGCGATCGTTAAGGACCAAACTCCGAATCCGTGACGTGACTTCCGTTCATCATTTATGTCCTAAATTTACCAATGTAGGTAGTTTCAAGAATTAACGCAGTCATTTACCGAATATTCTTTGCCCAAAAATAAATTTCAAATGAATTATTTATAGGAGATAAGTATTATGATCAGTAAATATACCGATATGCATTACCGACCACAAGGACGGCTAAAAATAGGCACAGACGGTCACAGTCGAGGTCACTTTCCCTTTGTTGTCACTGTAGGACCTTGTGAGTGGTTTACTGTATACATAAATATTACATAAATTATTTCTGCAATTCTTCACAAACAAAACACATAAATCAATTGAATATGCGATGTCGAACGTGAACCGTAAACACTGTGTGATGTAAAGAGAGCGCCGGTGTAAAACGCTATGTAATTTGATTGTCTCTTTTATTTAAAATTTTACAATTGACTTATAATATATAGGTATACTGTATACATAAATATTACATACATTATTTCTGCAATTGTTCACAAACAAAACACACGACTCAATTGAACACGCGATGTCGAACGTGAACCGAAGCCATAACAATCGTTCGAGTGGAATCGCGTCGGAGCAAACGAGTTCGCGTCTTACAAATATCGTTTCTCAATTCATAAATCGCGTCGTCAAAACACGCGTTATAGCAGAACTCGCCGTATAGTTTTTGGTTCACCGCCAACACGTTTATCCTCGTACCGGATCTCCGTCGTCGCGTATTTTTACGCGACATCTGCGGAAGTTACGTTCGCCGGACGTTCACAGACGTAAATGGTACGACCTCGAGAGCACGACGTACATTCGGTCGTAAAGTACACCGGTCCGGATCGAGTGGACTTTCCCAATCGTCTTATAGATTTCTCGAGTTCTTGGGAATGGTACGAATATGTACAATTAATATTATGTTATGTATAGGTATATTGTATGTTTTTTGATAATCGTTAAGTATGGGAGGTGGCGACGTGCACACCGTACCGACGGGTGGAGGAGCGTCGAGTTTGATTTTGTATTAGGCGACGGGGTCGCGGGTATTTACGGAGATACGGCAGAGCGCGACGTCGGCGCCCGCGTACGGCACGAGCGGGAGGAGTAATTTGTGCGGGACGTAATTGTGGGGTAGTCGAGTATGCCTGTGTGTTTTAGTTGGCAATAGTGTGTAGATATGTTTGTGTATAGGTATACTGTAGAAAGAATGAACTTAGATGAAGTTTGTTTGGGAATTAGTATAATTTGTAATAGTAGATAATTGTCGATATATTTTGACAGTAATTTGTCCGTTTCAGTTGCGGAGGAGCGCGCCGATACGAGTCGGAGACGGCTCGTACAGTCGGCGCACGAGAGCGGTCCGGACGAAGACATTCGGGAACGAGGACGAAGACGCTCGTCGACTGCGGACGAAGACACCGGTCGACGCGCGAGGAAGATGCTCCGGAACACGGGAAGAACGCCACACTCCCGAGTGCGGGAAGACACTCGTCAACGCAGAAGGAGACACGCATCAATGTCGGGCCGGCGCGATTGTTTTAAAGACGATTTAACGTGTAAAATGAATGTACGTGTTGTTTGTAACGATTGTTATAATGTTTGTAGTATTGTTTTTAGAGACCGACTGCGAAGACGGAGGAAGTCGATACATGTCGAGAATGAATTTATTGAAGATGTTGCCTGTGATCACTAGGTGTTTGCACTAATTTGGGGAGATGATTACGATCGTAGAACGTCACGGAATGCGGCGCGCACGTCATTTGTGGCGGGACGCATCCGTAAATAACGGCAGCATAAATACGAGAGAACGCGGCGGCGGCGGGGAAGTGCGCCTTTTGAAAGTAAAAGAACGGGGGAGATCGGACCGACATAGATGGTGTTGTTGTGGTAACCGATAAGAATGGAGAAATGATGACTATTTGGTGGGTTTTTTAGGACAGAGAGAGTAGTTATATATTAGTGAAGATATAAAGTAAAAGGTGATAAGGATGGTGGTGGGGGGGGGACAACGAATGATATATTTTGTAGGGTATTAAAGGAATT